ACATTTGCACACCAAGTGTGTGGATGGTGCAGTACACCCCTTGTTGAGTGCTGTTGCTGGGATTGCTCTTTACTGCTTCCTCCAGGACCTGGTTGCCTGACCATCACCACAAGCAGTTAACCCCCGTTTTCACAGTAGATGCTCTCGGCCCCAGTGCCCGAGAGATTGTATTTCTGATGAATCTAAATCTCCCTCCCTCCTACCTCTCTCCCTGCCCTCTGCTGTCCCCAACCCCACCACTTTGTCAATGGGTTGTGTTGCTCCTGTTCATTTGCAACAGAGAATTTAATTGAACTGTACCCCAACCCCAGGAGTAAAGATTAGCCAGGACTCATACACACCAGGGACCTGGCAACTCACTGAAATGTCTGGAAAAGCAATTACCTGTTGGTCCTACTTTTGAGTTCCCATCGACACCTATTCAAAGACAGAAGAGAGATGGATTGAGTAAGGCAGTCACATAATTCATCAAAAAAAAAAAAAAAAAAAATCAGGAACTTGTTTTCCCATAGTCAAAAATAGTCTTTTCTGGGCAGTTGGGAAAGTTGGATCAATAACAACCAAAATCTGTTGCCATCCAGTCAATTCTGACTCATAGTGACCCTACAGGACACAGTAGAACTGCTCCATAGGGTTTCCCAGGAGCAGCTGGTGGATTTGAACTGCCGACCTTTTGGTTGGCAGCTGAGCTCTTAACCATTGTGCCATCAGGGCTCCTCAATAACCACCAGTGTTGATTAAAAGGTTGGCAGCCTACCTGAGTGCCCCTTGTCTCCCAGTGACTCAAATGACACATGGTATAGTTATTTATTGAGATCAGTTACTGGGCTGACCAAGGTTTAGTAACGGAAGAGGAATAGTCAGAGTTGAACGGTCTTTGACGACGCATCACAGAGAGACAGTACTTGCTGTGTATGTGTGTAACCTTTGGCATGCCTTTGTTACTTTATCAACGAAATGAGGATGCTAAGTATCTGTACCACTTATCTGTCGGTTTGTCATACTGTGGCAGTTTGCATGTTGATATGATGTTGGAAGCTATGCCGCCGGTATTTCAAATACCAGCAGGGTCACCCGTGGTAGACAGGTTTCAATAGAGTTTCCAGACTGAGACAGACTAGTAAGAAAGGCCTGACAATCTACTTTCTAAAACTAGCTAATGAAAACCCTACGGATTACAGCAGAATATTGTCTGATAAAGTGCCGGAAGGTTGGAAGGCGCTACACAGCAGCCGCAAC